GGCTTGAGATCTCCATCAGATACATCTTCTTTCCCTCCCTTTTTTTTTTTTGGCCAGTCGTGGGTCTTGAACTCTAAGCCTGGGTGCTGCCCCTGAGCTCTGCAGCTCAAGGTTAACGCTCTACCACTTGAGCCACAGGACCACTTCGTTGTTTTTTTGTTTGTTTTTGTGTATGTGGTGCTGAGGAATAGAACCCAGGGCCTCATGCATGCTTGGCAAGCACTCTACCACTGAGCCACCTTCCCAGCCCCTCTTCTTTCTTATGGGGCTTGAACTCAGGTGTTGACCCTGAGCTCTTCAGGCAAGACTAGTGCTGTACCACTTTGAGCCAGTGCCACTTCTGGTTTTCTGGTGGTTAATTGGAGAAAAGTGTCTCACAGATTTTCCTGTCCAGGCTGGCTTTGAACCACAATCCTCTAGATCTCAGCCTCCTGAGTAGCTAGAATTACAGGTGTGAACCAGCAGCGTCAGGCAAAGCAGCATCTTCTTTAACCCTTGTGTCTCTTGCCTGTCCAGGCTCACGGGAAGGGAAAAGCGAGTCGGGGGCTTTGACCTCATGTGGAATGATGGCCCTGTCAGCAGAGAGGAGGGGACGCCGGACCTGTCAGGGATAGGAACCTTTGTGACCAACACACATCTGGGTATGTTGGGGGAGGGGGAGTGGGAGCCTGCAATTGGCATGGGAGGTGCCCTGCGGTCTAGATAGCTTGGTGCACCAGAGAAATTGATTGCACCTGAATCTCTGCAGCTGTGTAATCTTGGGCAAGACTTAATCTCTGTAAAATATATTGTATATATACCTAGGACACTGTGTGATGTGATTAGTGATGTTAAAAGGTAGATTTCAAAAGACTTTATCAGAAGACAAACAAAATATGTGTAATATGAGGACAACTCTGGAACTCAAGTCCAAAGTTGTTTTTCATTTATTTTTGTCGGTCGTGGGGTTTGAACTTGGGGCCTGAGCACTGTCTCTGAGTTCTTGCTCAAGGCTAGTGCTCTACCACTTTGAGTCACACTAATACTGGTTTCCTGGTGGTTCGTTGGAGAGAAGGGTCCCAGGGACTGCCTGGACTGTCTTTGAACTGTGATTCGTGGATCTCAGCATCCTGAGTAGCTAGAATTACAGGCATGAGACATCAGCACATCACTAAAGTTGATTTTTTGTTTTTGTTGGTCATGTGTCTTGAACTCTAGGCCTGGGCACTGTCCATCAGCTCTTCAGCTCAAGGCAAGGGCTCTACCACTTGAGCCACAGCAACACTTCCGCAACACTTCCGGTTTACTGAGTGGCTTTTTGGAGATAAGAGTCTCACGGACTTTTCTGCCCAGACTAGCTTTGAACGATCCTCAGATCTCAGCCTCCTGAGTAGCTTAGATTTCAGGCGTGCGCTACTGACACCAGGCTTAAAGTTGATTTTTAAAATGTGAAGTTTCCTTGATTGTAATAGCTATTCACACTCCCTGTAGAATGTTTGAAAACTGAAGAGAAAATGGGGGTGGTGGTGGAATCATCCAGGTGAAACCATCATTAAAAATTTCATGCATTTTTGGAAAAAAAGAATATATTCACCCTTTTTTAGGCCAGTCCTGGGGTTTGAACTCTGGGCCTGGACACTATCCCTAAGCTCCTTTTTGCTCAAGGCTAGTCCTCTACCACTTGAGCCACAGTGCCACTTCTGGCTTTTTCTGACTAGTTTATTGGAGATAAGAATCTCACAGACTTTGCTGCCCAAGCTGGCTTTGAAACTTTTGATCCTCAAAATCCAACCAGACCTGTATGTTTACCTCTGACAGACATCAGTTTTCTGGTTGTCTTGTTTTTTGGGAAATACTGAGGTTTGAACTCAGGACATCACACTTGCTGTGGCTCAAAGTGGTGGTGGACCATCCCTAAGCACAAAAGCTCATGGACAGTGCCTAGGACCAGAACCAAAAGCAAAACAAAATCCTGGGGAGGTTTGTGGTACACCTTCTGGCTGAGCTCAGTGCAGCCTTGAGGGCTGGGGTTTTGGGAGCTGGGATGATAGTTGCCTCCCACTTGAGGCTACAGATACTCAAGTGCCACAGCAGCATTGTGAGCGTCCTCGGTGTCATCAAGGTTAAATGGCCCTGGAGTTGCCCTATCAACCAGCTCTGAGGGCCAGCAGGAAGCAGGCTGCAGGTGAAGGTGGAGGTAGCCACTCCAGACTGTGTGGCCAGGAGCCACTAGCAGGGCCTGTCAGGAAAGAAAGCTGACAGTGCACTCCATTAGACACCAGGCACTGTGCTACCTTATGCATTCACTGAGCAAAACCAGGAGGCAAGGTAGTGTGGGATGGGTTAAGAGCCTTTGCTGATGCTCCCAGGGCTCTCTGAACAAGGCTGGTCTTCCAGTGATGAACTGCTGGAGGGCAGGGCAGGGCTGGAATGAGCTTTTTGTGGCTTCAAGAGACTCCTGCTGTCTCTACTTAACAGCTAAGGGCACACAAGCCCCTTCACCCCCTTGTCCCACGACATGCCCTCCTGCCAACCACCCCACTTCTCTTTCAGGCTGCATCAACGACCGGAAAAAACAGTTGAGGCAGCTGTTCCACTCCCTTCAAGTGCAGAAGAAAACCCCCAGCTGACCCAGCTGAGGTGGGAGGAGGCCCTGGTAGGTGTGGCGAGGCCTTTCCCGGTTCCCTGCAATACAGCGCACCTTGCAGTGTTTACCTTCTCACTGGCAGCAGCTCTGCTGGCTAAGCAGCTGCAGCTTGCTGCGTGGCCAGTGCCCTGCATCTCCCACAGGAGGCAGCCAATCCCTAGGACTGGATGGGTTTAACCTAGACAGGCCCTGGTGACTGGGCCAATGAGGACAAGGGCAGGGAGTTCTGTCACTCAGAGATCACACCTAATAAATGAGTATAGGCCTTCCTTGGAGTCACTGGGCATTGGGCCTGGCTCAGGGGAGGCTGCTGGCTGCAATGTTGGCATTTGGACATCTCGGCCTGCAGAAAGGGTCCCTGGGGCTAGGGAATTTGTCTTGTGCATGCTTGCAAAGCAGCTAAGAGTGTTTCCTGGGAACCTGAGAATGTGCTGAGCCCAGAACCCATCTTCTCCTCTGCAACACCCAACCTTGTGTCAGAGAAGGACACCATGGACCCTCCTGACTATCATCCATGAGATGATGGTGGTCAGCGCGTGCCCATTTCTCCCATGGCTAAGGTGAGGACTGGGAAGGCAGTCCACACCATCTTGCTGTCAGTCCTAGCTTTCTGACTTAAAAAACCCCAGCTTCCAACTTCAAACAAGAAACCCCAAAGAGGTGCATGAGATAGCTAGGCACTCTGACTTGGATGCATTTTTGGGATGATGTTCTGATGGAGAAACTCTAAGCCAAGCAGTTATACAAGACAGCATCTACTAAGGTGGGTTCTGCTCTTCTCTATATTTTTACACTTGTATTTTAAAACATGCCATACTCACAGGATTTAAAGTTCAAATCTCCTCAGCAGAGCAGAGCAGGAGCTCCACCCTGCTAGAGTGCCGGCAGGAGGCCGGCAGGTACCGTTTAGTGCTCCTTCCCTTCTACCCTTGTGTCCCAACCCAGCAGCTGTGGTCCTCAGGGAGCAAGTCTACAAGCAGGTGATGAGACGCTGTCCTGCCCTGGCTTTTCTCAGTGCATCTTGTCCCAATCCAGTCTTCAAGGAGCTTCCACACTGTCTGTAATGCCCCACAGGAACATGGATCCCTGAACCAGTCCTCTGTGGATGGAAAGGGAGCTTCTTCTTGCTCACCTACTACAGGAAAGAACCACGGGGACTAGTATAAAACTCAATAAGTGCCAGGCCAAGCAAAAAAGTCTGTAAGACTCTTATCTCCAATTAACTACCAAAAAGCAAGATGTGGAGCTGTGGCTAGGAGTAGCAGAGAGCTAGCCTTGAGCTGAAAAGCTCAGGGACAGTGAGCTGAAAAGCTCAGGGACAGTGAGCTGAAAAGCTCAAGTCCCAGGGCCAGCACCAAAAACAAAACAAAGCTAAGATGTAGGTCTGTGGTCTGGGACAGACTTGGCAAAATGCTCCCACCCTTCAGTTTTGCCATGTGCCAGTCCTGGCAGCATTTCCATAGGTGGTACCATACAAGGATGCTGGGCTGAACAAGGTGACTAGAAGCTGTTCATCTGCATGGGTAACATTTATCGAGCCCTTAGTGAATACAAAGCACAATTCAGCCCTCATATCAGGACTGCAGACCAGGAAGGTGGCTGGGACTCGGGACAGCACTGGCCAGGCCCTGTTTGCAGAGGCATTGGAGTGCATCCCTGTGAGCCCCATAAGGAGGAAGCCCCATGGCAGGACCCTGTAAGGCCTCCTGACTCAAGAACAGCCACAATGGGCTGGGAAGTTGGCTCAGTGGTAGAGTGCTTGCCTTGCATGCCTGAGGCCCTGGGTTCGATTCCTCAGCACCACATAAGAAAAAAGAAAAAAGCCGGAAGTGGCGGTGTGCCTCAAGTGGTAGAGCGCTAGCCTTGAGCTGAAGAGCTGAGGGACAGCGCCCAGGCCCAGAGTTCAGTCCCCACAACCGGACCAAAAAACAAAAAACAACAAAAAAAAAAAGAACAGCCACAATGGATAAGCAGCCCCTGCTCCAGAAGGCAGCAAGACAAAGGGCAAAGCCAGAGGCGGCAGGGAAGAATTGTGTCTGCTGCAAAAGCTTGATGAACATGGAGCATTAAGAGGCACCTGCCGGCCTCCTGCTATATTCTAGCAGGGTGAAAATGCCTCTCCCCTTTGAAAGGAACAGAGAACCCCAAATGAAGCTCCTGCTCTGTTCCCTCCCTATGAGGCCATCTGAACAGCAGGCTACTGTTGAGAATGCCTGCTGTGGTCGCTCCCACACCCCCACACACCTACTAGCAGCTGCCAAGGCCTGTCAATAGGTCTTGTGACCACCAAGTCCTGATGGCCAGGCAGGCAGGGACAGGCTGAGGGATCCCTCCTGCCACCACTAAGCAGTTGAGAACTACAAAAAGACTTCTGCAGAGGAACCACAGACACAAAGTGTCTTTGTCTTCTAGGTCTCAAGGTTTGAACACCCAGGTCCTCCTGTCCAGAGGGGTGCTGGCAATAGGTTCCCCCATCTTCACACTTGAATCTCATCCTTTCAAGATGACCTTAAGAGCTTTGAGCTCATCCTGGTTGAGGGGATTCAGGTTAAAACCTTTCAGTTCCGGTTTGCCTAGAGGAAGAAGATTCATGGATTCCATGAGCAAGCTGAACATCCTGCTGGTTCTAGACCCAGACCTACCCCTACCCCTACCCCCAGGCCAGCGGCTAACACTGCATGAGTGCTGTCAAATTCAGCCTTAGGTCTGACTGATGGGCCTCAGACTCCATAATGCCTGGGATGGTGTACATCCACACTGATCCTGGCTGTCAGGAACCTGCAGTCATGACTCCCACCCAGAAACCCCCAAATCTACCACAACTGTGACCTGCTCACACTGCCTGGGTTTATTTAGAATTTCAGCTCTGACCCTGACCACCAGATTAAGGCTTTCTGAGTTTACTCAGGGTAAGCTAGCCTGATCCCCACACCACACTCCAGCATGTGATGAGAGATCATCCCAGGCACCTCCTGGGGTCTAGAAAAGCAGCTGCAGCAGCAATAAGACCCACAAACCTCCCAGGCTGCTGTACCTGTGGGTGGCTACAGATAACCTTTGCTACTGTTCCAGTGCCATTCACATTCAGCCCCAGCTAAATCTCCACTGCTGAGGGGCTGTTCCCTGATGCCCTTCAAGAGTACATACTGATGGTTCGTTCCCCCCATCCCCACCCATGGTTGCCAGTTCCCCCAGGCTAATACCTTGAGCCTCAAAGAGGCGGTTGACCTTCACTTTAAGTTGTTTTCGGAGTTTTTCTATTTCTTTATCCAGGTGGTCCTGATCTGAAGAAAGAGGTGGGCAGAGGACAGGGCTATACCAGAGGCAATCCTGGACAGAACTTGAGTACCCAGCCCCAACTTTTGGCTCACTGATTTTTATTTCACTATTCAAAGTGTGTAATGGAGCACAATAGCCTGTAATCCCGGCTACTTTGGAAACAAAGATCAGGTGATCACAATTCAAGACCAGCTCCAGGCTAAAAGAAGTTCCTGAGACTAGATCTCAACTGGCTGGGCACAGTGGCAAGCACCTGCCATCCCCAGTGACACAAGGACATACAAATAGGAGGATCATCATGCACACTGGCCTGGGCATAAAGCAAGATCATACCTTGAAAATCATCAACACAAAATGGGGCCTGCTTATTAGCAAGTGTGAGGCCAAGTTCAATCCTCAGTCTTGGGGAAAAAAAGTTTGATAATCAATGAACAACTGTTGTGACATTCTACCAGCTACAAGTGATGTTATGGGCAGACAGCCTTCCCTCAGATTTGTACACTTTCAGACAGGGAGAAGCTCTGACTGACCAAGCTTCATGCCTGGGCAATGATTCTATTTCCCATTGTAAATAAGGAGGTGTCTTATGAGCTTGTATAGCCTGTGTCAGTCCTTGATAACCCTAATAGTGACCTAGAACCCTTGTAGGTATAGTGATTAGACCACAATTATGGACCAGTAGGGCCCAGAAGATCCTGAATCTAAGCAGTGATGCCTGTCCAAAGCTACCTTGCATATACAGTAACACCTGCCAAAAGTAAAAACACAACCCATGTATATATCTCAACAGAATAGCTGGAAAGTTCTGCTCCAAGTTAAATCCAATTTCTTCTATTAGAATTTTGGTTTGAAAGGTATGAAAGCCAGGTGCCAGTGGCTCATGTTTGTAATCCCAGATACTCAAGAGATCTGAGGATTATGATTTGAAGCCCCAGGAAGGCTCTTATCTCTAATTAATCACCAAAAAGCTGGAAGTGGAGCTATAGATCAAGTGGTAGAATACTAGCCTTGTACAAAATAGTTCAGGGACAATACGCAGGTGCTGAGTTCAAGCAACAGGACCAGCATCAATCAATCAATAAATAAATAAACAGAGACAGGAGAAACACTGTCTTATGGAATTGGACACAGATGGGTGTTGAGTGAGAATATCCAGCAAGGATGGCATGGGTTCTTTAATGAGGCTAGTGGTTGTGGCTGAGTAAGCAAGCAGGGAGGGGTAAGAGATAAGCCTACAGAGATAAAAAAAGGGTCCTGTGGTCCTCTTCTTGGCCTGTAAACCTTCAAAGATATGCAGGAGAAATTATGCCTAACCTGCCCTTTCCCAGCCAAGAACCATTTGCAGCTTCTGTGCCTTTATACATCTCAAAAACACCCAGAATCTCTCAGCTTGGGAGCCTTAAGTAATTCATATTAAGTGCCCAGGCAGTGGCAGGCCCTAGACATCTGTTGTCCCCCAATCTCCATTTTTCAACTATGTCAACTGTAAGGGGTCAGAAATTAAAAGCTCACTGGCCCAGGTTCCCTTACAGCTTTGAGGAGCCATAGTGAAATACTGGCAGGATGTCCTTCTTTTCTTTTCTTTTCTTTTCTTTTTTTTGTGGGTCCGGTCCTGGGGCCTGAACTCTGGGCCTGGGTGCTGTCCCTCAGCTCTTCAGCTCAAGGCTAGCGCTCTACCACTTGAGCCACAGCGCCACTTCCGGATTTTTTCTTTTTGCTTATGTGGTGCTGAGGAATTGAACCCAGGGCTTCATGCATGCAAGGCAAGTGCTCTACCACTGAGCCACCTTCCCAGCCCGGATGTCCTTCTTTTCAAACAGAAGGCAAAGGTCACATATGGAGAAAGGGAGAAAGCTTTTTATCCTTCCCTTGAAACCTGGCACATGGTCACAAGGATTCCAATACTGTGAGGATGGCACAATGACGACGAGAATATGCTATGGTGACACTGCCAGGCAGCTGTGTCAGTCCTCTGGGCAACTCCTTATGTGAGAAATAGACCCACATTTCTATGAGCCTCGACTTGCTGGGTTTCCTGTTATTTGCAATCCAACTTGTTCCTCACTGACAAGCAAGACTATGTTAGATATACACATACCATTTTATCTAGCTTCACAATGTTGTTACATAGATGTCTCCCAAATTACAGATGAGGAAATAACCCACAGTGGCAGATCAGGCATGAAAATCCTAAGCAATCTGAACTCTGTAACACAGCCACCGCCCATCAAACTGCCCAAAATCTGCCTCTCAGCTCTGGGAAAAGCAGTGCCATTCCTGACCCATCCCCAGGTCCTACCTTTCTCAATCATCTCCTTTGTCTGACAGTGAGGCATCTTGATAAACATGCTCCCGAAGCAAACCATCACATCTTCTGAAATAACAAGTGATCATATGATCATTTCTTCAACAGGTATACCTGCTTTTTAGCACCTACTACCTGTCAGGCATTGTTTTAGATGTTGAGAACATAGCAGGACAAGACAGTTCCTACCCTCATAGTGAAAGATGGGATCAACAAATGATTTGTCAGACAGTACTAAGAACTGTAGTGAGAAATGAAGCTGGCTAAGGGGGACAGGGAATGCTGGAGTAGGGGAGGAACTTGTTACTGATGCCAGAGCTTACACCAGTTTATCTGAGGCCTCACTGATGTTAACACTTGGACAGAGAACTGAAAAAAGTGAGGGTATGGCCCTGAAGACATCTAAGGAAATGAAATGGGACCGAGGAAATGATAAAGATCTGCAGTACGCTAGGTGTCAGGAATAATGAAGAGACCAGTGTGAATCAACAATTTGAGGAGATGAGGGAGTGATACTGGAAAGTTCATGGGGATCTGGGTTTTATGGAGTCTTGCTGCTACGTGTAAAATTTTATACATGCAAGTGCACTTTAAACAAAACACAGACATCTTCTTTTGGCCCCCAAAGCCCTTGATTATGGCCTGGTTGTTGCTCATTTCTACAGGCTCCTCCCTGTTTGCTTACTGTCACACCAGTAGTCCCATTAAAGAACTCATCCCACCCTTCCTCCTGGATGTTCCCAATCCACCCATGTCCAATTCCATCTTTAGCTTTCTCACAATTTACAACTATATATTTTACACTTTTTCTTATCTGTATTACAAAAGCAAAAGCATCACTTTCACATGCTGCCAGCACTCTCCAATGTCAACTTGTCATCGATGAGCAAGGAGCTAATGGCCTGTCACTCAAGTGAGCAGCTAAAATCCTGAGCCAGTCTGTGTCAGACCTGCAACATTTGCTCCCTCATCTTCACAAGCTGTTTTAATTGCCGAGGAGGCTGAGTCATTTCTGTGGCCTTCTGCCTGGTTTCTATTAGGAACAACATAGGCCTTCAAAAGAAGGCTGAGTAGTCCTCCAGGGCTACAGTGAGGAAGTCCCAACTTACCAGAGAGGCTGAGATCTCTCTGTAGGGCCCGCAGGCCTTCTCGGTTCTGATTCCTTTTGGTGTCTAGGTCCACAATCTGAAACCAGGAGCAAACCAGTATTCTGATTACTTCATTGGTGTAAGGAGTGAGGTGGCAGTACAGAGCACTGCTTGAGTGACAGTTGTGGAGCTCAAACACCTAGGTGTGAATCCTGCTGCCAGCTACCTGTTGTGTTATTTTATCTTACGTCCTCTGAAAAGCCAAGAGCACCTACTTTGTAGGTTTCTGGACAAGAACTAAATGTGTTTAGCAGTACCTGACATAGGTTAAGTACCTGAATTTTTTTTTCCTTTAGTGCTTTGGGACAGGTCTCGCTATGTAGCCTAGGCTGATCTGCAAGGCCTTCAGCCTCAGAGAGTACTGAAACGACAGGCGAGCCCTAACACACTAGGCAAACTTTAACTGCTCTTATTCTCCTTGGGCACACCGTGATACAGTATTTAATTTAGAAGGTACTTCCCCCATCCTTCCCATCCCCCAAACCTACTCAATGGAGACAAGAGGGACTCCTTAGGCCCTTTCCCCATGGCAGGACACTGCCTCCTGCGTCCAACTCCAAAATTCCTTGGCCACTCGTTCACTCCCCATCACCAGCACCTGTGTCGGTGGCAGTGGCCCCTTGAGGGTCTCAGACCCTGCCACTACCTCTGCGCCCCTATAAAACTCCTCCACGCAGCAGCTGCCCGGTTCCTTTCCAATCCTAAACCCCCGAATCCTGCATCACCAGCATCCTCGACTCTCTGACTTGCCCTTGAATGAGCACCAAGCCCCAAACTGCCTGTGCGAGTCCCCGAGGCCCTGCCTAGCCGGGGTCCCACCTTCTCCATGTCCTCACCCGGCCAATCACAGCTGTCCTCAGGCCTCAAGTCTCCGAACCAGCCCCGGGGAGAAGGAGCAGAGGGGAAAGGGAGCGCCTAGCACGGAGCAGGCGTTCGCTTCACACCGGCCGAACCAGGGAAGGGCTGCGCCGGCGGCGGGGCTCGGGATGCCCGCCGGGCCCCTCGCCGCGGCCCGGGCCCCTCGCCGCGGCCTCTCACCTGCCGCTTGTCCGCCAGCACCTCCTCCGCGAGCTCCTCCACCTCTACCAGGTACTGCAGCACCCGCTCCGCCTCCGGGGACAGCATGGCGCGCACTAGCTCTGCCCGCGGTCAGGACACCGGGCGGCTTCCAGTTAGGCTCCGCGAGAGCCGACGCTTCGGACTCCTTCTGCGCATGCGCTGCGCTGGGCTTCCGGCGCGCCTGCGCAATGAGAAGAATGCCGTCAAGCAGGCACCAGCGCACGCGCGTCGGTAGGACGCAAGAGGCGGGGCCTAGCCTTGGGGTGGGGCAGGAGCGCCCCTTGCAGGGCGCGGAGGGTACTGTCCGCCGCACTGCCTCTACCTGCCGCTTGAGCACAGACTGTGTGCGGTTTCTGATGCTGAGAATGCAGGCGCAGCGGACAAAGCAACACTTTTGCCCTCTTTCATCCTAGTGGGAAGCACTGACAATGAATGAGAAAACAATTACATACTATGGAGGGTAGTGATAAGAGCGTGGAAAAGCAGCAGTAAACCCTTTACATTTCATCTGACCACAGTCTTCATTACAACCCTTTGTTGAGCCAACCAATTGATGGGGACCCACAGAAGGAGGTGGAAAACTATGGACAATGAACAATGAAACATGGAACAGTGAACGATGCCAGCACAGAAAAACAGCCTTATGAGGGCTGAAAAGAGAATCAATGTGTGCCAGAGGATCCAGGAGGACTTCCCAGAGGCGGCACGCTGAGGATGCCCAAAAGAACCACAGCTGGGGGCGGGGAGGGGGGAGGGGTGGGGGAGGGAGATGAAGGGGGGGGAAGGGTTAGAGATATTTTTTGCCCAAACCTCTCATTGTATAGCTGCAAAGCCCAAGATGCAGAGGAAAGTGAGGACTTTGACCTCCTGCCTCCCTGATAATAGCCTTTTATTCTTTTGACTCCTGGTAACTTAGGCTCTTCACACACCGTCTTACTTGAATTCACCACCGTTTTTGTATAGACCAGATGGTCATGGCTCCATTACACAGCTGCAGATTGAGACCAGAAGGGCTATTCCTCCTCACAAAGCCAGTTGGATGCAAACCTGGATCTGGAGCGGTTCTGTTCCCCCATCCCACAGCTGTCTTCCCTGAGCTGCGGTCCCGGCAGTGCCTACAGCATCTCTCTTTGCCTGGCCTTGGGCTGCCTTGGACTCAGAGAGACAGAGCTAGTTTCTTCTGCAGCCGCCTGGCATAGAGAGAGAGGAGATTCATTAAGGATTCTTCATGGAGGGTGAATTTGTCGCCAAACCCAGGATGTTTTGTGTAAACACCTTCTGCTTCAGAAATGCAGGCACAGGCCCTGCGAAAGAAGTGGGGACACTTGCCAAAGAAAGATAGGCCTTACCAGACATTCTCTAGAGCCTGGGCCCTAGCCCTGGAGCTCTTCTACCTTGAGGCCAAAAGAAGACCCACCCCTGACCCCTGCCAGATGGATCTGGATGGGAGGAATTGAGGCAAATTTCCATGCTAGCAGGTTTTTTGCTGTGACAGGCCCTGGCTATTGGAAGTTGGGGGTGGGTGTTACAGCTTCAAGATGGTCAGGTTCAGGACTCTGAGATCACTTAGGTTTCAGAACTTTTTTTTTTCTTTATTGAGATTAACTGATTACAAAAATTTTACAAATGTCACAGTATTGTGGGATAACGAGACTTAAAGTCACAAACACAATCATGGCCTATAAAGCTTATGAACTCTACAAACTTGGACACTACAACTATTTTTTCCAAATTGGGTGATATGTACATTTCTTTTGCTTAAGCTGTTCCTTTTCTCTCTCTCTCATTCTCTCCCTCCCATTGCTGCCCTTAAGTTGCTTAGTTCACTTTCATCAAATGTGTAATAGGGAATCAAACTCATCAGAAGCAAGACCAGACATAATTGCTGGCCTTCAGAGAGCTCCCAGGCTGGTAGGTGAGACCGATAACAAACAAATGAAGGATCAATAAATATATTGGGTGATGATGAGTGCTATGGAGAAAAAACAAGACAAGTGGAGGGGAATGACACAGGAGCTGTTGGATAGAAGGTGGTCGGGGAGGGCTTCTCTGAGGAGGAGGCATTGAAGCAAGATGTGAAGGAGAAGGGTAGACCATGTAGATTGCTGGTGGCCCACATTGCAGGCATCAGGAACAGAAAGTATAAAGACCCTGGGATGAGCCTTTGTTTGAGGCTAGTGCAAGCAGAACAAGATGAGTGACGGGGAGAATGTAGGAGATGCAGTCAGAGCAAGACAGAGAGAGCTGACAGAACCCCACCCAAATAGACAAAGCTTTCACCGGATGCTTGCTGTATATGCCTGTGGCTACTGCTTGTCTCTGCTTCCAGTTTCAGGGTGAGTGGAGAACACCACTGAGTTACAGGCTGCAGGCATAGACCTTTGACAAGCAGAAAGAAGAATTAGTGGTTGCATCTCCCAGCATCTTTGCCCCTCCCTGGGAGACCCAAGAGGAGGCTGCTGCCATCAGCCGTCAGGGCCACGTCCTTGGGCAGCAGGGGTGGTGACCGATGGGGTCAGGGGAGGAGGATCTCGGGTCTCTGCACACATTCTGGAATGGAGCTAGTTTCTCTAGAACCAAGTTGCCTGGTACACTATGGTGCCCAGCGAGTGAGTGAATATAGGGCTGAACAGAGCTAACTTCTGGGACCCAGTTCCCATCACAGAAAACAGGTACGTCAAGGCTGATGGCCACATGGCCAGGATTTTGAAGAGATGATTCAGTGTCAGGGCAGGATGGTTCTTCAGTCTTCCCTAACCTCACCGGGGCATGTCCCTGCTTCAGCCAGCCCAGTCAGGGATGTGACTCCTGGGGCTGTGTCGTTTGGAGTCTGGGACAACAGGAACAACACTCCCCTCCCCTTTCTGGTCCTTTTCCTTTTTGGTGCCCTTCCTGGGGCTTGAACTCAGGGCCTGAGTGCTGTTCCTGAGATTTGTTGTTGCTGTTGCTTTTTTGCTTGTTTGTGTTTTTGCTCAAAGCCAGCACTCTACTTCTCGAGCCACAGCTCTACTTTTGGCTTTTTGGTAATCAAGTGGAGATAAGAGTCTCAGGGACTTCCCTGCCTGAGTTGACTTTGAACCCCATCTTCTCAGCTTCCCAAATAGCTAGGTGTGAGCCACCAGTGTTGGACAGAGGAAAGGAATTTTCATTTCATTTGTTCACTGATATATCTTGAACATCTAGAACAGTTACTGTACAGAGTAGATGCTCAATAAACATTTCAGAGTGAATGAATGAGATGAGCTAGAATTCTAATCAAGGCAGACCCTTTCTGTTCCATGTTCCTAGCTCCATTCCAGAAGTTTGGCATTGGGTGTTGTCTGCAAAGATGGTGGGGGTGATGTTCTCAGCTCCATGGGAGTTCTGGGAGGAGGTTGACCAAACCTAGACCTGATGGGGTTTGCCCGGGGGAGCCCCTCTGGCTCTAATGGGAGCACATGAGTTGAAAGAGGATGTTGGCCACTGTCCTGGGGGCTGTATGTATTGGGTGGAGGTGGGAGGATGCTGCTGGGGGCTTAGAGGGTACCAGGCTGCAGCTGCACAGGGGCAGGGAAAGCACAGAAGAGCAGCCACTAAATAACCCAATTCTCTAGGCAGCCTGGGTGGCTGTTTTACCAGCTCTAGCCTGTGCAGTGATCCAGGATACCACGCCTCTACTCCTGTTCCATAGATGCTGTGTGCTGGCCTGGGTGGTCTCTAACTCCTCCCCCCACTTCCTTTGTGGGCTTGGCAGGTGGAAGCAAGGCCTCCCTCCCGTCCTCCCCTGACCCAGAGAATAATCCCTCCCATTCATAGGATTCTCCCTGCACCCCTCCCTTCATCCTCCTACATCGCTGCATAAGGCAGAAAGCCGATTCCCATTGGGCAGATGAGGACATCAAGGCCAAGAAAGGGGCCACGAGCCTGCCGAGGTCATACAGCCAGATGGGGACGCCAGATGGGGACATGTCTCCCAATTCTCCATGCTTCCATCTTCACCAGGCAACAGATGGCCCCATGGCTTGACTTGAAAAATCTGAAGTGACCCCAAAGAGAATACAAGCCCAGAGCACTCCATGCTTCCTACAGCTGGCCTTCCTTGTTGCCTTCACATCCTACATTCATTCATGCGAAGTCCTGAGAATTTATTCTTACCCCAAGCATGGAGTGGGCAGGAGGACGTGGAGGAACATGTTCGGAACATCTTTGAGTGGTGTATTCAGATTACTCTCCTCTTTTCCAACAGCTGCAAAATATTTTGAGTGAATTAACACATGGTCATTGTGCACCTCAATTCCTCAATTCAAATATGCACTTTTAAAATATTCCCTGAAGTACAGAGGGTTGAGTTCATCTTGCTGCTCATGACTCAACCCCAGGTCATTGTAGAACTGTTTGTGAACTTTCCATCTCTGAACACACCCATGTCACCAATAGGAGGATCAAGGAACAGAACAGAGATTCCTCAAGCTCTCCCACTGCCCCCAAGGGTGACCACACCACAGGTTAGCTCTGCTGGGCTTTGAACATGGTAACGTAGAATACGTGGTGAAGGCTCTTCTGTGTCTGACTGCCTTTCCTTCATGTGTGTGGTTGTAGATGGTTCACTTCAATGCTGTAAGGCTTTTATGTGCCTGAATTAAGCTGGCCTATGTTATGGACAGGAGTGTAGTTTCCAGCTTGGGATCATCACAAACAGTGCATTAATTATTCACGAACATTCCTAAGAGTGTCTTTGGTGTGTTTCTGTCAGATGTGACCTGGGGGCCCAATCGTTGGTCATGTTCTGTTTTTCTATATATTAATGAACTGGATATGTGCGGTTTTGTTTTTATTTTGGTGGCACTGGATATTGAACCCAGCAATTGTAAATTGTAGGCAAACTCTCTGTCACTTGAACAAAGGTCCTAGTCTTTGGGAGTGCTTTTTTCCCCCTGGTCCTGGGGCTTGAACTCAGGACCTGGGCATTGTCCCTGAGCTTTGTTGCTCAATGCTAGTGCTCCACCACTTTGAGCCACAGCTCCACTTCCAGTTTTCAGGTGGTTAATTGGAGATAAGAGTGTAAGACTTTCTCACTGAGCTGGCTTTGAACCAAGATTCTCAGATCTCAGCCTTCTGAGTAGCTAGAATTGCAGGTATGAGCCACCGGTGCCCAGCTTTGGGGGTGC